CCGGCCTTGAACTCACAGAGATTGACCTGCCTCTGCCTCCTGAGTGCTGGGATTAAAGGCATGTGCCACCACACCTGGCTGTAAATAAAATATATTTTTTTTAAATGGTAGTATAGCCAGGCGTGGTGGCGCAAGCCTTTAGTCCCAGCACTCGGGAGGCAGAGGCAGGCGGATCTCTATGAGTTCAAGGCCAGCTTGGTCTACATAGTGAGTTCCAGGACAGCCGGGGCTACAGGGAGACCCTGTCTCAAAAAGACCAAAAGAATAGAAAAAAGAATGGTAGTATGCAGGCTGAAAAGGATGGATCAGTGGTTTAAGAGCACTGGCAGCTCTTGTAGAGGACCCAGGTTCTGTTCCCAGCACCCACACGGTGGCTAACAACTGTTTGTAACTCCAGTTCCAGGGTATCCGGCAGTATATGACACAGGTGTACTTACAAGCACGCAGGCAAAACACTGAAACAAGTAAAGTAAAAACAAATAAATAAAAATAAGTAAATCTTTTTTAAAAATGGTGGTACATGCATGTCCTCGCTTCTCTAGAAGCTGAGGCATGAGATTGCTTCAACCTATGAATTTGATACCATCCTGGGCAACATAATGACACTCATTCTCAAAAAAGTAAAGTAAAAATTGAGCAAAAGACCTGAACAAAGGGCTAGAGAGATGACTAAGGAGTTAAGAATGCTTCCTGCTGGGCATGATGGGCACGCCTTTAATTGCAACACTCAGGAAGCAGAGGCAGGTAGATCTCTATGAGTTCAAGGCCAGCCTGGTCTCCATAAGTTCAAGGCCAGCTGGGGCTACAGACCCTGTCTCAAAAACAACAAAACAAAACAAAAAAACTTCCTGCTCTTGCAGAGAACTCAAGTTTGAAGTTTGGTTCCTAGCACTTGTGTTGGGTGACTCACAACCACCTATAATACCAGCTCCAGGGGATCTAACACTTCTAGTCTCTGAGGACACCTGCATTCATGTGTGCATATGCACACACAGTCACACACATTTGCACATAATTAAAAATAGTAAAAGTAAATCCTTTTTAGAAAAAGATCTCAACAGATCTCTCACTAAGGAGAACACAGGAAGGAAACAGTGTGAAACATATAAGACATCCCAAGGCACAACAGACTTAAAACAGTGAGATGCTGCCACACACCTGTGGGAAGGGCTCCAATTTAAAACCTGATGACACTAGATGCTGGAGAGGATTCAAAACAACAGCATCTTGTTCATTCCTAATAAGGATGTCAAGTGCTTGGCCACATTGGAATACAGCTTAGAGAACTAAATATTCTTTTTTTTATGTGTATGAGTGTTATGCTTTCATGTATGTAAGTGGACCTGTGTCATGCAGTGCTGAGGAGGACAGAAGAGGACCTCAGATCCTTTGGAACTAGAGTTAAGGTATGGTTGTTCGCTGCAATGGGGTGCTGGGATTCAAACCCAGGTCTTCCGCAAGAGCAGCCAGTGCTCTTAACTGCTGAGCCATCTCTCTAGCTCCAGAACTAAGCATTCTTAATGTATGGTTCAACATCATACTTCTAAGCATCCAGTTGAACAAAAAATTTGTGTCCACACAAAATCTGTAGGCAAATGTTTGTGGCCAAAGACTGAAAGTACCCAGTGTACCTTCTGTACTGAGTGGATGAATAGGTACCATATATGGCATGGAGCATTTTACTCAGCAATAGGAAGAACCAAGCCCTCACATCACAAACAAAGAGGAGTAGAGGAGTGGGGGTTTTTTGGGTCTTTTTGAGACAGGGTCTCCTAGTAGCCCCAGCTGGCCTGGAACTCACTATGTAGACCAGGCTGGCCTCGGTCACCTCAGTTTTGCAGAGATCTTCCTGTTCTGCTGGGATTAAAGCTGTGTGCTACCACACCTGGCCTTTTTTTTAAAAAAAAAAAAAAATATATATATATTTTTTTTAAATTTTATTTACTATTTCTATTTTTTGTGCATGAGTGTATTGCCTGCACGTAGGTAAGTGCACTAGTGCCATGCAATGCCTGCGGAGGTCAGAAGAGGCTGTCGGAGCCCCTGGAAGTGGAGTTAGTGACAGTTTTTAGTTGTCATGTGGGTGCTGGGATTCGAACCCGGGTCTTCTGTAAGAACAGTTTTAATTAAAAAAAAAAAAAAATATATATATATTTTTTTTTTTTTTTAATTAAAACTGTTCTTACAGAAGACCCGGGTTCGAATCCCAGCACCCACATGACAACTAACAACTGTCCATAACTCCACTTCCAGGGGATCCGACAGCCTCTTCTGACCTCCGCAGGCATTGCATGGCACTAGTGCACTTACCTACGTGCAGGCAATACACTCATGCACATAAAATAAAAATAATAAATTAAAAAAAGAGGAGTCTTAAATGCTTTTTCCCGAATAAAAGATGCCAGTTGAAAAGGCTGTACCCAAAGCAGGGCATGATGAGGGAAACATAGCATTTGTTAAGCCAAGGCAAGAGGATCATAAATTTGAGGCCAGTCTGGGCTACATAGTGAGACCCTGCTTCAAGAAAACAAAAAGAAAGGACTAAATGCTACAGGACACCCACTAGCTGTATTCTGGAAGAAGTGAAGTTACTCAGAGGTGAATGGATCTGTGGCGCCCGCTCATGGCATTCTTATGACTGCTCAGCCCAAAGTTGTAATGGGACACACGTGATGTGCATTTGTCAGTCTGTGAAATAACACAGAGTGGGCTCTACTGTGTGCAAATTGAAAGCTAATTTAGGGGATAGTAGGTCAGTGGTAAAGTACTTGCCTAGCATTGGCGAGGCCTGGGTTCCATCTCAAGTGCCCCAAAAATGAACTTAGAAGGCTAGACCCTCAAGAGGGAAGGCAGACTGACAAGAGAATCTGTTTATAGGTGCACTGAGATTCCTGAGGTGCTAGAAGGTGGGGTCTGTAAGAACAGAGGCAGAGGGCCTACAAGAGCCGTGTGCTAGCTGACAGCCGGGTCCGTGAGTGCTCTTGCAGTTGCTGCTATGTTTTTTATTGTGTGGCAGATGCCAGAAACCAGTAAAAACTCAGGCTTAGCTCATTGCAGTTACAAAGAGACATAAATGTTAATAGTACTTCAGCTTTCCACACATCTACCAGCTCTATAACTGCGGGCTCAGCAGTGTTTGTGAACATTTGGAAACCCTGCATCTGTACTGAACACACAGACTTTCCTTGTCACCGCTTCCCGATGCTGGAGCGTACCGCTTTGCGTGTAGCAGCCATGTTGCATATGAGCTACTCTGTGCAATTTAGAGATAATTTAAAATAAATAGGAGATGTGTGTGGGCTCTATACAGATAGCACTTTATATACAGAACTTGAATACTAACAGATTTCACTGTCATTGAGAGATTCTGAAACCAACATGTCACAGGTACCAGAGTAACTGTTTATGAATGGACATGGTTAGTGCAGGTGTGACCTGAGAGCCTACTGGCAGCAAGTATATCCAGCACGCGTATCTTGGCTTCTGGTGTTCTCCAGTGAAGACCCAGGCTCCTTAAAGAAATATCTGAGGCAGGAAAGGCCCAGGATGGGCTGAGAGGTTCCTGTTGTGCCAGAAGCTTAAGAAAACAAAACAAAGCCAACAATGGTGACGGATCATGTCAAACCAATGGCCTCTTGTAGTCAATGTGAGCAACAGAATCAGTAAAGTAGTATTGGAAACAACCCACTACATGAAATTTAATGTCCACGAGTCCATACTGAAATAAGTGATTAAATCAATGAATAAAGATGAGGGACATGGCTCCCATGCAGAATAATCCCACGTGCAGTAGGCTCCATCTGAGAGCTCTGAGGAGAAGGCTTCGAGCCCTACATCTTTCCTGTGCCTTCCTTAGAGCTCAGCATATCAAGGGAAGATCGCTCTGCAGTGGTAACCCGGGGTTATGCCTTGGCCATGCTCAGGGTCGACATCAGCAGTCCTAAGAAGCAGATCAGGTTGGCAGTGGGGACTAGTTGGTTCTCAGAGGGCATCTCCCCCTGGATCTTTTCCCCAAGCCTGTAGCCCTAGTCTGACCATGAGGAGAACAAAGGGAAGTCCTTACACAGTTTGACCAGTCCTGCTCACACCCAACCAGGTCATAAGAAACAGTCTCTTTCATCACCTGAGGGGCCTATGGAGGTGTTAAGACCCTGTATTATGTGGGGCCCTCGAACAGGCATCTGGGGCAGAGGATGACACAAGAAGAAGCTGAGGAAGTGAGTGAAGTGGGAACTTCATTTGGTTGGACCTTTACATGGAAAGTGTAAGGCATTTATTTTCCTTTTAAGTTACTTCTTTTGCCCAACTGACATACTTTCAAGTACTTAAGTAATTCTTGCAACTCAGCTTTTTAAATCATCATTCACATGGGACGTGTAGCATGATCAGGTTCCCATACCACCCAGCCTAAATGCCTGTGTGTTGCTTTGTGCCACAAGATGACTATGTGGTTGAGGCACACCAGTGTCCCCAGGTGGGTGTGTCACAGGCTTGTCTCAGGCTAGCAGGGCAGTAGCCTCACTTTGTCTTGATCTTCATTCCTATCCTTTTGGGAGTGGGAAATTATATCTTTCACCTAGCAGTATAGCCCTCTGCAGCTGCAGGCAACTGAGTGGGGCTGTTCTTGCTTAAGATAACCCTTCAGGGTGCCCCTCCCAGGTGCCTTTCCCATCTCCCTAGTGCTTCTGTAATAGATAGAGCTGTGCTCCTTGTCTGCTGAGCTGAGACATGAGTACTCTCTTCCTCCTGGCAGCAGTGGTGTGGAGCCCCGTTGGCATGGAAATTCACATGTGACTTAGGGAGCCACAGATGTTCTGCTAAGGTTGGAACCCTCATCCTGGCTATTGGGGGGGTGGGGAGCAGGCAGCAGCACTCAGTATTCTTAGCTGTGCTTGCCACCTTGGTCAGGTGGGGTGTCAAGATGCTGTATGAAATGAAACAAACTGAGAGGGAAGCTTAATAAGACAGGACATGGCTGGAGTTTATGTTCTTGTGAACACTGGCCTGAGCAGGTCCTTGGCAGGGACTGTAATCGTAAAGCTACAGCCTGATCTGGGAGCCCCAGCCCCTTCCCCTGCTATGGCCACAGCCTTGGGTTCCTGCTGGGGGCCATGTTTCTGCACCTTGTCCAAGTGTTTTCAGTGTTTGTTTGCAGGTATAGGTAGTGTACTTACCCTTGCATCTTGTATTAGAGGTGGTGACCTAACAGGACAAAAGCTCTCTCTAGAAAGACCTGTTGTGACTGTGCTGGTATACAGCTCTTAGGTCCTGACATCTTACAGGGGTGTTATGAGGCCTCATGGTCATGTGTGCAAGCATTTCAGTGACGCTACTAGACACTGTACGTGGAATGAGATCCCACAGAAGGACCTCTGAGGGTGGTGCTGCCTGTGGGCTGGTAGAGCTGGAGAGGCAACCATAGACCTTGAAGTGGAATGAGCCGGCCGGTTCAGACCAGCTTGCTACCAAGCAGTTGCCAGACCGAAGCTGTCCCAAGCACTTCCTCCTGCCTAGCTCCCTGAGTACCAGGACCTGGCCCACAGTGGGTGTCCCTGGGGTTCCTGCTGCCTCCCACCTCTGCTCGGAAGAAGCTTGCGCACACTGAGGGGCTGTTTGTTCTTTATTTGCAGAGGTATTGTGGCCAGTATTTTGGTTTTCTTATGTTTTGGAGTCACACAAGCCAAAGACGGGCCATTTTCCAGACCTCATCCAGGTAACTCGTCATTTCTTTCTCCACGTGTGCAATGTAGCCCTTCTGTCCTGAGCATCCGCTCTGTGTCTGTGCTGCTGGGTGTGACTGTCCTGCTCCCCTCTGTTAGCTCCTCCTGCAGCCACTGCCCCCACTGTAAGAAGAATGGAATGTACCTGCTCTACACCCCCCATGTCCCACCTCCTCTACCTCCTCATCCAGCTGCAAGAGTCTCTTTCCCCTCCTGTGCTTCACCTGCCCTGAATGAGGCTCCTCACCTTCCTGTAGACTGGGGTACCCCATGGATATGGGAGGGGCTGGAAACCTAGGGACAGCTGTTAGGGTGCTCTCTGCCTCTTACACCCCTACTCCAAGTTCTCACAAATTCCTGGCATCAAATTGCCCCCTGTGAACCTCAACTGGAGGGCACAGGCCACCCACCTGTCTCCTCCCAGTTGCCCCAGGGCTTAGATTGGAGGCTTCTGAAGCTACAACTTGATTGGTGTCTCGTTAAGGGCCACAGCATATATTTAGAAACATGTTTCTTTTCTGTCTCAATAAGAGTATGAATTATTTGGGGGCTGGAGAGATATCTCACTGGGTGTTCTTGGCAAAGGACCTGGATTCGAATCCCAGCACCCACATGGCAGCTAACAACTATCTGTAACTCCAGTTCCAGGGGCTCCAGCACCTTCTTCTGTCCTCCGTGGGCATTGCACAACACCGGTGCACTTACATACATGCAGACATAACACTCATACACATAAAATGAGAATAATTTTTTTTTTTTTTTTTGGTGTTTTCGAGACAGGGTCTCCCTGTAGCCGAAGTTGTCCTGGAACTCACTATGTAGATCAGGCTGGCCTTGAACTCACAGAGATCCACCTGCCTCTGCCTCCCGAGAGAATAAATTTAAAAAAATATTTTATTTATTATTTTTATTTTATATGTATGTGTGTATTGCCAAGGTGTAGGTAAGTGCACCCGTGTTGTGCAGTGCCCTTGGAGGACAGAAGAGGCCGTCAGATCCCCTGGAACTGGAGTTACAGACAGTTGTTAGCTGCCATGTGGGTGCTGGGATTCAAACTCGAGTCTTCTGCAAGAACAACCAGTGTTCTTAACCACTGAGCCATCTCTCCAGCCCCAAGAATAAACTTTTTAAAAAAGAATCAGAAAGAGTATGAATTGTGGAAATAACTATTTTAGATATTTTAAAAAATAACTGCTGTTAAACTTTGTTGTATTTTATATATATATGTATATATATATATATATACACATATATATATATGATGAGTGATGAGGTCCAAGCAATCCTCCTGCCTCAGCCTCTGAGGTACTACATGCCACAGTATCTGTCTTCACCACATTTTCATTCGGCCTGTGATTTGCTTATACATTTGTTTATTCTTGAGGGTCTCACTATTGCCGAGGCTAGTCTCAAATTTCTGGATTCAAGGAATTCTCTTGCCTCCACTCCTGAGCATTGGGACCACAGACATGTGCCCACCACACCTCCTGGTTTTCATATTGGTTTGTTTGTTGTTGCTGTTGTTTACTTATAAATTAAGCAGTGGTGAGATTTTTTTCACATATGTCTGTGTGTATTACCCTGATTATTTAATAAACCATTATAGGAGCAGAAATACATTATTAGTCTTGAGCACTTTAGCCCCCAAATGGGGCATCTCTGCCCAGGGTGACTTAGTGTTAAGTCTCTGAGCAAGGCTTCCCTGTGCTCCAGAAGTTCTGAGGGGTCTATCAGGAACCTGAAGAGGCTGTTGATGTCTCTGATTGCTGCTGGAATACTAAGAATGGCCACACAGCCTCAGTGGGCCTCTTCCGTCTGAGCCCATCCACCCAGCCTTGCCTCAGAAGGTTTCAAAGCAGAGCCACAGAAAAGCAAAGTGATGGTTTCAAAACTACCCCATTGCTGAGTGCTTGGTATGTTTGGAAGAAGCCCACCCAGTGAGGCATACTCCTCCTCCTCCGTCTTGGAAGCCACATCTCAGTGAGTGAGACAGATGAGGCCAGTTGGCAGCAGCTTGCCCCCCTGCATATGGCCCCTGGACATTGGAAGTGGCTCCAGGAGACCCTTAGGTCCTCTTGTCCAGGAACACAAGCTCCTGTACCTCAGCAGGCACAGATCACCGTGTCTGAAAGGATTTAGCGCTTCTGGAGGTTCTATGGACTTCTCTGAGCAATGTAAATACTGCTCCAGCTCCCTATATTTGGATCACACCATGCTTGCCTCTGAGTTACTTTGAGAACTCTGCTCTGCCTCTCCTTCCAGTGTAGCTTCCCCTGCAGAAGCTCCAGGCTTCTTCAAAACTTTTTGCCTTATTCAAGAAGGAAGTCTGTCCCGAGCCACCTTCCTCCTCACATCTTGTTAATATCCCAACCTTTCCAATAAGAAGTGAGGTGCATAAGTGAGAGGTCTCCAAGCAGCATCCTGGCAAGGACAGCAGGAAGGGTGTTCCACCCAAAGAGAAGGGTTCTGTCCAGGGCTCTGTCTCCTCTCCACCTCAGGGTCACAGCTCAGGAAGACCCAGTCTGACTTCCTCACCTGGGCCCTTAGCAGCCTGGCCTCATTAGGGCGGCAAATGAGCATCTAGCTGACCTGTCTGGGTGGTTGCTTTATTTGGAAACTTGAATTGGCTATGATTCCAAGTGAATACCTTTGAAGCAGATCCTGGCTCTATAGACACAGCCTCTCTCTTTGATTCAGTTTTTTTCATTGTTGTTGTCTATGTGCAGTACTGCAGGTTGAACCCTAGGCAAATGCACCGTAGGCAAACACATCACCACTGAGCTGCAGCCCCAGTCCCCTTCCTGGCTCTTATTTTCTAATGTGGCTCTCTCCAAAAGCCATACTGCTGAGGCTGCCTGTGTGCTCTTCCCTCAGATTTGATGTTTGGGTGGACAAGGGCACTAGCATCAAGGTCACCAAAACCAGGGATCACTGGAATTTATTGGCGAGGTGTGAGTGAAGAGGCAACTGGATATTTAGGGGTAGGCCTAATAGGAGGTGAGGACTCACAGATGGTTCAGCTTCTGATTTGGGCTTTTGCTAGGAAAGTCCAGGAAACAGCAGTAGCTGAAGAGACTATCTCAACCTCAGCACTGATGACACAAGCAGTACCTGTTGGGGATGTTGTAGCCTCAGGTGTGGCCTCTTCCCTCAAGGAAGCCCTCCCCAGTTCACCAGTTCAATGGTGCAGGTCATCTTGCCACTCTCAACAGTCCTCAGTTGGTTGTACTACAGACTTGTTAGCTGCCATTGCATCCCAAGCCAGCAAAGACTTTTCCCACAGGGTCTTCCTACCCTCCAGGTGTGAAGAGTGTTCATAATCTGAGGTATCATCTGTGTCCCAGAGCCATTTGAACAAATTCCATTATAAGCCTCCCACATCATGTTTCTTGCCTGTTAGGGTCAGTCATCCTCAACCAAGTAGATCAGGGTACACATGCTGGCCTAAGGACACCTGCATTTGCAAGCAGGAGACCCCATGCATGCATGGTCTCTCAGTGCTCCTCATGGGTCCTCAGTCTATGGTGATATCAAAGATGGAGGGGTGTTTGTAATCTGTCATCTGACCAAGCTGGTCTTGGTCAGGTGACAGCGGCAAAAAAATAAAAATAAAAAATAAAAAAAAAGATGGAGGGCTGTTTTAATATCAGAAGTCTGCTAATATTCATCATATTAACATTAAAATACCTTCTTAAATACAGAAGAATAAAACTTCATATTGATTTATAACAAAAACCTAACCTATTAGAATTACAAGGTTTTGTTACTGTGATAAAAGGTATCCATCAGAGCCTGCTGCAAACCTGGCACAGGTCAGCAGCATCAGTAGTAGACATTGGACCAGGATGTTGCCATCACTGCTTCTACCCAACATTTACAGGTCTTCTGTGCCACTGTGGTTCGGTAAAATGAAATAAGAGACCTCAGGACTAGAGTAGAAGGAAATAAAGGAAAAAACCATTTCACATTTCAGGGAGAACTTCTTTGTGCAATATTTATGATTTATTTATTTATTATTTATATTTGTTTGTTTTCTTAGGGTCCCACTGCCTGGCCTGGAACTCACTATGTAGACCAGGCTGGCCTCAAATTCATAGAGTCTACCTGCCTCTGCATCTCAAGTGCTAGCTTTAAAGGCATGTGCCACCTCTGTGTGCTGTTTTAATTTGGACCTTGCATTATAAAGGCTCTACCAAGGACACGCAAGCCCCTTCCCACCTTTCAATACTGTTCATGATCAGGGGCCTCATGGGGCAGGGAGTGCAGTGGGTTGGACTTCCAGGGCAGGACTCCTGACATTGTTGTGTTATCTTCTTATAGCTTACTGGCGGTTTTGGCTGTGCGTTAGTGTGGTCTACGAATTGTTTCTCATCTTCATTCTCTTCCAGGTAAGCAGCTTTTCTTGGCTGATAAAATGGGAGCAGATGGTAAAGAGGGCCTCAGATTCTCAGTCCCCATAGTGCTGACAGGAAGACAAGCTAGAACAGCACAGGTAGGCACAAACTTGTGTCTCACTTCCAGATAGACCCCATATGGAGAGCTGTTTTAGTGTGGGTGCAGGCACAGGCTGCTGTCACTGCCAGATGCAAACAGGGCCAGACACAGAAAAGGCAGCTTATCTGATTCCAAGACAGGGACTGTTGGAAGGCCAGTGGCACATCAAGCCGTAGTTTATCTCTGGCCTGTAGCTGAGCAGCTGGAGCTTCACAGTCCCAAGGAGCTGGTAGGCTGGCTTCTCACCAGGGAGCAGGGGCAGTTACAGTAATGTGTTCTCTAATGATCTACTCGCCATCACTAAGTGGACCAGGAGCTCCGTCAGGTTTTTTATCATTGTGCTCACTCCTCTGTCTGGGGCAGGTATTTCGAGCTGTAGTCTGTGCATGCCCAAAGCATCACAGCAGGACACAGAACAGTTCTATCTCGAGAAAACTCACTCAAAGACCTTTGATAGTCTTCCTGCACTGCCCCCCTGACTTGTCTCTGAGGACAGCCCATGAATGGAGCCACACAGTGGGCACTGTACACCCTTGAGACCCACATCGTACCTTTGAGGTCCACCTAGCTGTGTCTCACCTGTGGCTAACAGACACCATTGTACAGATGGACTGCAGCTTATCCACTCAACGGACATGGCAGGCATTTGGTTGTTTCCCATTCAGAGCTACTCTCAACATTCCTGTCAGGCTTTATGTGGACACAAGTTTCCATTTCTCTAGGAGACAGGCAACAGTGGTCTCTGGTCATGTCACACGTATGCTTTTAATAGTTGGAGGAGCCACCAGGCTGCCTTCCAGCATGGCTGTGCCATCTTGCATCCCATGAGCACTAAGTTCCTGCTGCTTTACACTGTTGCTTTCATTTCTGTCATGTGAGTTCCCAGAGGTGGAATTGCTGGTAGTGAATGGAATTAAATCCTAAGCGGTGTGAGGTGGTATCTCTTGGCTTTGATTTGTATATGCTACAACTAAAATCCAAGCTTTTTTCAGATTTCCTTAGTTTTACTTAATGCCTTTTTCCTGCCCAGAATCCATTTCAAGGCACATCACACCTAGGTGTGACATCATCTGGGCGGGGCAGTTCTCAGGCTGACCCTGCTTCTGATGGGCTGGCAGCTCTGAAGAGGCTGATGGGTGTCTCCTGGGTCAGGTGCAATGTAGTCACAAGGTGTGAGTCTTCACACTTTGCTCTTCTCCTTCCAAATTGTCTTGTTCAGCTGCTCTCCTGCATTTCCAAATGAATGCTAGAATCACATTCCGGCTATGTGAAAGAGCCCGTGAGAGTTCTTCTTTTTCTTTTTTTGCAGTGCTGGGGATGGAACCCAGGCTTCCTGCACGCTAGGCAGGCACTCTACCACTGAGCCACACCCCATCCCTAGCAGGTGAGATGTTGACAGACCATAGATCAGTTTAGAACATGATCATCCCAACGTTGTTACATCTTCCAGTCCATGAACATGGGATGTCTTCCCATTTATTTTGGGTTCTTAATTTCTGCTTCCCGTTTGTTTAGGTTCCTAATTTCTGTTTCATAGTTTTCATAGTGTAAGTTTTACACTTCCTTTTAAAAAAATTATTCCCAAGTATTTTATTTGTTTTGATGCTTTTATAAGTGGGAATTGTCTTCTCAGTTTCATTTTGGATTGTTTGTTAATAGTATATAGAAATACAATTTATTTTCATGCTGATTTGTGTCCCAAGACTTTGCTGAACTTGGTTATTAGCTCTAGTACTTCCTTAGGGTTGATGTTTTTGGCTCTCAGATGCTGTGACTCTTCCTTTCCAGTCTGGTGCCTTTTATTTTCTACTCTTGCCTGGTTCTGTATCTGGGCCTTCCAGCCCTGTTTTGAGCACAAGTAGCAAGCATGAACCTCCTTAACTGTTCCTGATCTCAGAGAAGTACCCAGCCTGACTGTGGTGAGTGTGGTCTGAACTCCAGCTTTTCCCAGAAACCCTCACCAGGTAGAGATAGTTTATTTGTTTATTTGTAGCTGGTTAAATGGGTTTTTTTTTTTTTTTTTTTTTTTGGTTTGGTTTGGTTTTTTTTTTTTGAGACACAGTCTCACTATGTAGTCCTGGCTAGCCTGGAACGCTTATATATACCAGGCTGGCCTGGAAGTCACAGAGATCCACCTGCCTATGCCTCCCAAGTGCTGGGATTAAAGGGATGTGCCAACACATCCGACTTAGTTGACTCTTTTTATTGTGAAAGCTTACCAAATTTTGTTAAACACATTTTCTGCGTTAGGTGAGATGATTATGTGTGTGGATTTTTCCTCCATTGATTAGGGTATTTATACTGATTAATGTTTAAAATTTGGTCTGGGGGTGTTTTGTCTGTCTTGTTTTTGAGACAGGGTCTCCTGTAGCGTAGGTTGGCTCCGAACTTGCAGCAGTCCTCCTGCTTGTGCTTCCGAAGTGCTGGGATTGCAAGTGTGCACCACCATGCCTGACATGAATGAATTTCTCGATGGAACCCACCATGCGTTCCTGAGATTCTGTGGTGATACATAATCTTGTCTGTCATCTGGATTCAGCCTCCTCCAGTTTTGCCTAGGATCTTTTCATCCCTTAGGAGATACTGGTGCTCTAATTTCCTGGAGCGGCTTTTTCTGGAGTTGGCATCAGGGTTAATTAGGATTTATTTCTCTGATGTTTTTCTTGGGATTTGAATGAGTTTCAAGAATACACCATCCACATGGCTCCTCCCTGGAAAGACTCATCTTGATAATGGATTTGCAGCATCTGTCAGGATCTCCTTCATACAGTTTTACTATATGATCTTTTACTGCCCATTTCCATCTATCCCCTGAAAAGAAGTTGCTGTGTGCCATTCATGTGGAAGGAACCAGGACTAGGGTTGTGTGTCTTTATGTTATATTTCGGAATTCTTCTGTAAGGAAAGCTAGTCTCTTTTCCACCATGTGTTAAGTATCTAATAATCTGTTGATGTTGGCATGGACTCATATAATTTTGTATTGGGTTCTTTTCCAATACTACTTTTAGTTTTTCAGAGTTCTTTAGGCCATTTACAGCTCTCATTTGGTTCCTGTCTTGCTTGACACATTCCATCTTTAAAAGTTCTTGGTTTGGGGCTGGAGAGATGGCTCAGCGGTTAATACTAGCTGTTCTTACAGAAGACCTGGGTTCAAATCCCAGCACCCACATGGCAGCTAACAACTATCCATAACTCCAGTTTCAGGGGATCCAACAGCTTCTTCTGACCTCCTCGGGCATTGCACAACACAGGTGCACTTACCTACCTGCTGGCAATACATGCATACACATAAAATAAAAATAATAAATAAAATTAACCAAAAAAATTAAAAAAAAAAAAAAAGTTCTTGGTTTTTGTGCCTTGAAGGTCTTCTTGGCCCACACCATAGGATGCTCCAAATGCCTGTACCCTTGCACCGGCCCTGGAGTCAGCCCTTTTCCCTAGGGCTCTCTTTTTTACTAAAGGATGATCTTAAGAGACTGAGGTCTAGGCACTAGGTGTGCTAGTCAGGTATCTAGTACCTCAACTGCAGAGCACAGCCCCATTGTGTGTTGGCCATGTATGTACGTATTACTATGACTGTAGCCAATTCTAGTGTTTGGTCTTGAAGACCCATCTGAAGTCTGATTGCTTCCCTTCCACCATGCTCTGCCCTCCACAGGAGCACTCTGAGGTCATGGGGTTTCTGGCATGTTGAGCAGAAGCCACATTTGGTTCGCAGCTTTGGGGTTAGGAATAAGAACTGCTTCAGTCTAAACTCGTGCCAAGCCCAGAACTCACCTTTTCTGACCTTGTTAGAGGCCTTGGGGCCTAAGGCGGAAAGTGGCACTTGGGGCTGGTCTTGGGACCATTCCTGCCTCAGCATGTCCTCAAGTCCTGCTGATTTCCAGGATACATGGCATTAACAAGGTGGCCATCTGTGAAGTCTCTGCTTCAGGGACAGTAACCCTGGCTTTTGGGTCTGGGGCCAGTCTTACAGCTGACCAGCCTGTTCCTGTTTTCTCTCCTGTCTGTGGTGTGTTCTCATGTCTGTCTCCTGAACCTATGCTTCCTCAAAGGTCTTGTTTGTCCTGGCTGGTGGTCTGTTCCAGGACCTTCTCCTGATGTGTCTAAACGTGCTTCCTTCACTAAGGGGACAGAACTCTCAGCGGGTGCATTTCCAGGAAGACGGAGGGGTGCTCAGCAGAGTAGCTTTGAGTGTGACCCTGGACTCGGGGGGGAAGGGAAACAGTGCAGGGCTGCCTTCTCTGGACCAGGGATTTAGCCTTGCATCCCCTGGAGGCTAGCATCTGTGCCTTGCTGATTCACTGGGGCTTAAGATACCCAGATCTGTAGCCCTAGCTAGGATGGAAGGACTGTCGTCTTCATGACATGCTGACCGAGATGTAGGTCACACACCACAGAGCCTCCCATCTAGGCTGCCCCTGCTAATGCCCCACTAATGGTGCTGTTTTGCAGACAGTCCAGGATGGCCGGCAGTTTCTGAAGTATGTTGACCCCAGGCTGGGAGTCCCATTACCAGAGAGGGACTATGGGGGAAACTGCCTCATCTACGATGCTGACAACAACACTGACCCCTTCCACAACATCTGGGTAGGAGTAGTCTCCTGAGCCATGGGACTTCAGCAGCCCTAGGACTGTCCTTGATTTTATGGGATCAGGCCAGGTGCCCTCAGGACTGTCTGCTCTCCTGCTTCTGCAGGGCATTCTGGGGGGTCTACACATGGGGTCCTCTCCTGATCCAGGCCCATGGCCCTGTTTAGATTGGGTGGGATTTCACCAGAGGGGCATCTTGCTCTCTCTTACCAGCATGGTCATCTGAAAGTGCCCATAGCAACATATGTGCTGGACCCTGGCCTTGTCCTGATTTGATATCAGCATGAAGGGTTGTGAGGGAAGCAATAATGATCCTGGGCTGCTGCACAGCAAAAGGTTGTGGGGTCCTTAGAGACCTGCCCAAGACACCAAGCAGGGGAGGAGACTGCCTGAGGGAGAGGCTGCCCAGGGTAGGGGGCTGTGTCTAATGGTTGCACCTGTTACCCACAGGACAAGCTGGATGGCTTTGTTCCCGCACACTTCATTGGCTGGTATCTGAAGGTAGTGATCCACTGACCTGGCTTCCTGGTTCTCATCTCCCTGCCTCTCAAGTTCCGGGTCATTTCTGGCTACAGGGTTGACCTGAGTAGGGGGTGGGCGAGTTCTGGTAGGGAAGCACTGTGCAACCATGAAGGGTGTGTACAGTGTGCCTAGAAGCTCCCAGGTTTCCCGGCAAGACTCAAGAGCTAGTGCTGATCCTGCTGCTCAGGTCTACAGTCTATTCCTAGTACCATGGTCATTTAGGAAAAGGGAATGAGAGATGGCAGAGCAGGAAGCCCTGGCCAGCCTGGGCTGTAGATATACCCGACACTAGTGATGCCTGGCTTAACCTGGAGGAAGGACTAGGCCTTCCTTAGTGCTCAGTGTGGGCCCTTCCATGTTGGCTAAAAATCTTAGTCAAAGTTGGAGGGGCAACAGCCCGCCCATCTGCTACACTCACCTGGGACCCTCTGGGGCTGGGGACAGGGATCATGTATTTGAGGGGCACAATCTGGTCTGTAGGAAGTGAGGGGTGAAGCCTAGTAGGGTGCTTTCTGGAACCCTACAGACCCTCATGATCCGTGACTGGTGGATGTGCATGATCATCAGCGTGATGTTCGAGTTCCTGGAGTACAGCCTAGAGCACCAGCTGCCCAACTTCAGCGAGTGCTGGTGGGACCATGTAGGTACCAGTGGGCAGGGTATGGCCTGGGTGGGCCTGGACTTGGCATGTCAGGCCCCGTGGTTATCACCTCTCCTTTCCTGACCCAGTGGATCATGGATGTGCTCGTCTGCAATGGGCTGGGCATCTACTGCGGTATGAAGACCCTCGAGTGGCTGTCCTTGAAGACATACAAGTGGCAAGGCCTCTGGAACATTCCAACCTACAAGTACATCTTGGGAGTTATGGAGGGATCACAGAGCAGTGGCCCCAAATACAAGGCCTGGCCATACTGCTCAGGAGGGTTGCAGGCGAGATGGATCTTTGTCCCTCAGATTCCACTCAGCCCTCTTGGTGGTGGAAAGTCAGCTGGCTCCTGGCCTGCCCCTCTCAAGAGGCTATGGGCTTGTTCCATCCACCTGCTTTTGTTTGTTTGTGACAGGATCTCATGTCTCAGTCTAACCTAAAACTTACCCATGTAGTCAAGGATGATCTTGAACTTGTGATCCTCCTGCCTCTCCCTTCCAAATTCTGGGATTACTGGCATGTGCCACTACACCCAAGTTCTCTGATGTTTTTGAGATCTAAGAAAAAGCAATGGTGGAGTTTGGTGGCACACCTTTAATCCCAGCACTCAGGAGGCAGAGGCAGGTGGATCTCTGTGAGATTGTGGCCAGCCTAATCTACATAGTGAGTTCCAGGCCTAGCTGGGGCTACAGGGAGACCCTGTCTCAAAAAAAGAAGAAATGATGCAAGGAACATTGGTATGCATCTACAGATTCTACTGCTTGGGAGGGTGAGGCAGGAAGGTTCCTTAAACATAGTTCAAGGCTAGCCTAAGCAACACAGTGAGACTTTGTCTTAAGAAAAAGTCTTAGAAAAAAAAATGGGGGCTGGGGATGTGCCTCGGTTCATAGAGTACCTGGCACACGTGAAGCCCTGGGTTCAATACTCGGAACCATATAAACTACGCCTGTACTCCCAACACTTGGGTGATGAAGGCAAACAGATCAGAAGTTCAAAGTTATGTTCAGTAATATGATATGTTTGGGGCCAGCCTTGACTATGTTTTTAAAAAACATTACAAAAAGCTGGTGAAGCTGGGCAACGTAGCCATGTGGTAGTCCCAGCACTGTGAGGACAGGAGGGTCGAGGCCTGGTCCCTAGCACCACAAAAAGAAAAAACGGAGTCATGAGGAATGCGGCTGCCTTCCTATCCAGGCGACAGTCCCTTCCGAGTAGCTGGGTGAGATTCTGAAGAGGGTAGGGCCTTGTGTCTACTAAGGTGAACAATAATAACCACTGGCTCACAGGCTTTAACAGTGGCCCCATAACCTAAGTGAAGCTGGCTGGCTGGCAGTAGGGACTGAGTAGGCCATTGCTCTCAGGCTGCTGGCTCTCTGGTTCCCAGGGGCAAGATGAAGAGGATTGCCTTTCAGTTCACACCCTACAGCTGGGTGCGCTTTGAGTGGAAACCAGCCTCCAGCCTACATCGCTGGCTGGCCGTGTGTGGCATCATCTTGGTGGTAAGTCCTGGCCGCCTGATGATTGCACATCCATATACCATCTGTGGTCAGCACTCAGGCTGATCCTCTCCCTTCCCCTAGTTCCTCCTGGCAGAATTGAATACTTTCTACCTGAAGTTTGTGCTGTGGCTGCCCCCTGAGCACTACCTGGTTCTGCTGCGGCTGGTCTTCTTCGTGAATGTGGGTGGTGTGGCCATGCGTGAGATCTACGATTTCATGGATGAAGTGTGAGGGCTTCCCACCAGGCCTAGGGGGGTGGGTGGCTGGAGCCTGAGCATCCTAAGGGCCTGTGGGAGGCAGGGCAAGCCAAGCAGCTGCTGCCTCTCCACAGGAAGCCCCATAGGAAGCTGGGCCAGCAGGCCTGGCTGGTGGCAGCCATCACAGTCACTGAGTTACTCATCGTGGTGAAGTACGACCCACACACACTCACCTTGTCACTGCCCTTCTACATCTCCCAGTGCTGGACTCTTGGCTCCATTCTGGTGCTTACCTGGACTGTCTGGCGCTTCTTCCTGAGGTGAGGAGGGGTGGGGCTCCAGGCTGGCTGGCTTCACAGTGTGGTTGGTATCTCTCCTCCTTGGCAGACAAGGCCCCAGCCAACCCCACCCCTGCCTAGTAGTCCCAGCCGCTTTAGCCCCCGAACCCTCTGTGGATTCCCATGGCACTCCCTGGTAAATCCAAGCTCCTGAGGTTCAAGGCGGCCTGCCCTGTCCATTGCCGGCACCCTAGTTGGCCTCCACCCAGCTGCTCCTGGGATTGTAGCAGATGTGGCCTTCTGCAGAACACAAGGAGCACGGGTGGTGAGATGGCTCTGCTGCCCACAGGGACATCACCTTGAGGTATAAGGAGACTCGGCGGCAGAAACAGCAGAGTGACCAGGGCAGAGCCATCAACAGCGGAGATGGGCACCCAGGGCTGGATGATGACCTGCCAGGGACTGGGACTGCAGAGGAAGAGGGGCCCACCAATGAGGGTGCTTCCATTGGGAAGGAAGAAGCTTCAGCCACTTCATGAGCCCCTTTCTCCCCACAGGCCTTGTGCCTTAGGGCTGTCCCCTTTCTCCCATGCTCATGCTGCTGCCTGCGAGGAGGTGGAAGATCCCATCCTCACCCCACCAGGGGCACTTCAGTGTACATGTGTGTATGCGCCGGTAGGTGTGGGCACGTGTGCCCTTGGCTCCTGATGCTTCTCCAGGGCTGTGAACTGGCCGGTGAGCCTGGGGCTTGCTCTAGAGCAAGAGTCCTGCCCTGTCCCTCTGCTTGGTCAGCCAGGGCCCATGACCTATGACCCATGGACACCCTTGTGCTCAGCTTCAACACAGGCATCTGTACTGGAGAGGCATCCAGTACTCGGCGGCATAGGCCCCATGAGACCATCTGGCTCCCACTCAACTTCTGGCAGCATACGTGAAGGAGGTCACAACACCAAATGGCTGCAAAGGAGTGGGTCTAAAGAGTCCGCATAGTCATTCCCTTCGGAGCCTTCGTTTAATCCAGACTCTAAGCTGAAGGGTGTGTGCATGGAGGGAGGTCACCAAACTGGCCCCTTGAGGGGCCATCAAGTCAATAGACTCCAACTTGGAAACCTGTACCCCAGGTGCTGGAGTTATATTGTCACTGTGGCTCCCTGACTTTATAGTTGTCTCCTCGAGCAAACAGAACAATTAAAGTGATGGTGAAGGTAAGGTATACAACCTTTGGCCTTCTCTGCCCCCACTGGCTGTCCCATGCTCCCATGGACCTTCCAGAGGAATAGACTGGCTGGAGGTCCTGCCCCATCCATTTGGATCTGTGGGGGGGGGGGGTGTAGGACACAGTTCTCCCAGGGCTTGTGGGGAGGTGGGGGGATTTAAGACATGGCTTTCCTAGGGCAGGCACAGCTGCTCACAGGATCCATAGCTTGGGCATCTGCTACTGCCTACCACATTGTCTTTGAGTGGGGGTGGGGGCTGATGACCACTGAAGGATAGTCATGGGAGATGGTTGGTAACTGTACCTAGCTTTACAGTTGGAGCCCTTGGGAATGCAGAGACCACTTGCCTTCTGACAACTTCAGTTGCCCAGAGAGCTAGAGCTGAGGAAACTTTGTCCACAGATACAAAAGGGGTATGTATCTCAGTTAATGAGGCAATATGTTTCTTTGGAATTCTGAGACGGTTCTGATGTGTCACTCAGGCTGGCATAGAACTGTGCACTATGCAGCCCAGACTGGCCTCAAATTCGTGACAACCTGCCTCAGCCTCCCAATTGCTAGAATTACCAATGTGCACCACAATGCCTGACTAAAATATATTCATAATTGGTACACTCCTGTGAGTCTAGCACTTGAGAGGTGGAGGCAAGAAGATCTAGGGTTCAAGCTCATCCTTAGCCAACCTGGGCCACATGAGATGGTGGAGGTTAAGGTAAGCATTATCTTTCTCCTCAAATAACGTTTTTGTTTTTTGTTTTTTTGGTCTTTTTGAGACAAGGTCTCCCTGTAGCCCCAGCTGTCCTGGAACTCACTATGTAGACCAGACTGGCCCTGAACTCACAGAGATCTCGGCCTATCTCTGCCTCCCAGGTGTTGGAATTAAAAGGTGTGTGCCACCACACCTGGCAGAAATAACATTTGAGTAAACATTCACAAACCTTTCCTCTAGCATTTTTAAAATACAGTGTCTTCTCATCTGTGATCATCCACCACCGTGCAATCAATAGTACACCAGGACTACTTCTACTAACAAGCTTTGAGCACCTTTCCACAGCTCTTCCCTACTCTTCTCCCAGCCTCAGGAAACCTCTGCCCTCTCAGTTTCTGTGAGATCAAGCTTTTTAAAGTTGCACATGAGATCACACTATACTTGTCCTCCTGTGCCTAGCTGATTTCACTGGACAGAATGACCAATTGTGTCCATGCTGTCACAGATGACAGCATTTCATTGTTTATGGCCAGATAGTGTGCCACTGTATGTAGTGCATTTTTTTTTTCTTTTTTTTAATTTTATGTGTGTGTATTGCCTGCACGTAGGTAAGTGCACCCGTGTCATGCAATGCCCGAGGAGGTCAGAAGAAGCTGTCAGGTCCCCTGGGACTGGAGTTACAATTGTTAGCTGCCATGTGGGTGCTGGGATTCAAACCCAGGTCTTCAGGAACAGCCAGTGTTCTTAACCGCTGAGCCATCTCTCCAGCCCCTTTAGATCTATTTTTAATTATGTGTATTTGTGTCGGGCTATGTGCAGGTGGCTGAAGTGGCTAGAAATCATCAGATCCCATGGAGCTGGAATTAGAGGTGGTTATGAACCAACCACATTTTCTTTATCCATTTATCAGCTGATGTCCCCACCTCCTGGTTACTGTGACTATTGTTGTGGTGATAGAGGCAATGCAAATTATCTCTGGCACCCTGATTCCATTTCATGTTTATCTGTAATTTCTGGATCATACGCAGATCAAAAAACAAAATGGGGGCTGTGAGAGATGGCTCAGCTGCTCTTCCAGAGGACTGAACTTTGGTTCCCAGCATCTGTGTAGGGCAGTTCACAACCACCTGTAATTCCAGCCCCAGGGGATCCAACACCCTTCCAGTCTTTATAGTCACATGCACACACACACACACACACAAATAATGTTTAAAAACAAATATAAGATGCCAAGTATTGGTGGCTCAAGCCTTTAAGACCAGTACTATGGAGGCAGTGACACACAGTATCTCTGAGTTCCAGGCCAATTGGGCTACAGGGAGACCATCTTAAAAAAACCAAAAATTAAAAAATAACAAGCTAGCTGGGTGTGGTGACACATACCTTTAATCCCAGCATTCCAGAGGCAGGTGGATCTCTGAGATCTAGGCCAGCCTGATCTACATAGTGAGTTCTGGGTCTACAGGGAGACCCTTTCAAAAAGGAAAAAAAAAAAAGTTGGTGGTGCATGCCTTTAATCCCAGCACTCAAAAGGCAGAGGCAAGCAGGTTCAAGGCCAGCCAGAACTACAAAGTGAGGCCTACCTAGTCTCAAAAAAAAAAAACAAATTCAGATGTGATGGCACATGCCTTTAATCCCAGTACTTGGGAAGCAGAAGCAGGTGATCACTGTGAGGTCAAGGCCAGCTTGGTCTACATAGTGAGTTCCAGGACTGTTGGGGCTACAGGGAGACATGTCTCTGAAAAAAGTAAATTTTAGCTGGGCATAGTGGTGCATACCTTTAATCCCCACACTTGGGAGGCAGAGGCTGGCGGATCTTTGTGAGTTCGAGGCCAGGCTGGTCTACATAGTGAGTTCCAGGACAGCTGGGGCTACAGAGAGACTCTGTCTCAAAAAGACAAAAGGAAAAAGAATTAAAATTGCCATCTTGGAGACCCGGTGAGCATATCTGTGAACTGCTCCAGACAGCAAACTTAAACAGCACCGTGGGTCCCTAGAGGAACTGCACAGGGCCAGTAAAGGAGGACAAGGACCCTTTTTGCCAACAAAGTGCTTTAATAGTAATAAAGTGTCTAAAGTTTTCTTGCTGAAATAAGCTGATTACAGTGTGTTCTCCAGTCAACACCAGGACACCCAGAGCCAGAGACCCAGGGAGCAGGCTGCCCCTGGAGGTGGATTAAGGTTGTGTATCCAGGGAGGTACCTCTCAGGAGATGATCCTCAGGGATGGCCTTTCCTCCTCCAGGGCTCGTAGCTGATCTTCTACCTCCTCTGACCAATAAATGTCGTACAGACTGCACACAGCAAGAAGTGAGTTGGGGTATCCCTGTGTACTAAGCCATACCTGCCTTCCTGCCTGGTTCACCTGAGCCCAGGCAGCCCTGGTCCCACCACCTTCACCAGCTGCATCTACTTACACCAGCTGCTGCAGGACACAGCTGGGCTGCTTGATGCTCTCCATTAGTTGCAGGACACCTGAATCCCCCATGCAGTTGTTGCTGAGGTCCAGCTCCCGCAGGCTGCGACTGGCCAGGAGAATTGGAGCAAGGCTTCGGCAGCCAATATCACTCACATCGCAGTCCCCCAGCCTGGGTAGAGAGGGCAGAGCTGTTCCCCATGTCTAGCCTTGGCATGAAGGCAGTCTCTCCATGCTCCTAGTGCAGCTAAGCTTCCTTCAGCTTGACAAAGTAGCCAACCCCAGTTTCTGCTGACAAAGGCACCAGCAAGCCTCTTAAGGGGAGTGCACATCCACCAGGCTCTTGCTCAGCACTGAAAGTCTAGCTAGGTCAGGAGCCAGCACTAAGGCTAGTACAGCAAGGTACAAAGGGAAAGTGACAGGGTAGACAGAGGTTTCCATGCTGGAGGCATTTTGGGGTATAGACCAAAGGAAGGAGGATAAAGTAGGCCAGTCCAGTACCCATGCCTACGAGAAGGAACCTAAGAAGTCAGGGTCCTGGGGAGTACGAGATACAGGCCAGATAATGCCAAGGAGCTGCTGTGGCTTGCCTCTCCAAGGTGGGCCTGAAAGCTCCAGGAGTCCACTTGTGAGCAGCTGCAGCAAGGCCCAAGTCTCCTGGAACAGGACCCACGCTCCTTTCCCTCCAGACTCCCAGAGCATCCCATAGCCCTGGCCACCACCAGCTAGGCAGGAGGACTACAGGGCTGTTGTCTTAAGTGGCCTGGTGCCCAGTCCAGGATGTCCAGCAGTCAAGACGTGCCACCACAGGAGGCAAGGAGGAGACAGACAGTAAGATGAACATGAAGAGCAGAAATACGACTGGACTGGCTAGAAAATGGGAAACCACTAGAAATGAGAGCAGAGACCTGAGAAAGAAAATGAGCACGGGCTGGAGGAGAGGTGGCTCAGCAGTTAGGAGCACTGACTGTTCTTACAAAGGACCCAGACTTGATTCCCAGCACCCACATGGTGGCTAACTCCATAACTCCAGTTCCAGCGGATGCAATGCCTCTGACCACCTCGGGCATCATACAACACAGGTGCACTTATATGCAGTGCAGGCCATATACTCATACACATAAAATAATACATAAAAGCTGCCAAAGAGCCAGTTGGGTGAGACAAATCGGCAGGAGAAAGTACCTGCTGCCAAGCCTGATGACCTGAGTTTAATTTCTGGAACCCAGTAATGAAGGAGAGAACTGACTCCCACAGGTCCTCTGATCTTCAGATACAGGCCATGGTGCAAGAGCATGGGCACACGCACAAAGTAACTTTTTTTAAGCTGCCAAAGATTAAAGGCAAACCTATAGGAGACTGAGGACAGCAGAGTTCTCCCTGGGAGCCAGAAAGTAACAGAAATAATGAGTGGCCCACAGTTACACACCCAGCTCAATGACCAGGGTACATGAGGGTTCCAGATACCATCTGCAGAATCCATTCTTAGATGCTACTAGAATGTGCTTAACAAAATGGGGTGAGGGGGTATAGACCCCCCTATTTGGGCTTCTTGCACAGAAGGGTGGACAGAACTTCCTGCTGCACCCAACTCCCCAGTATATGCCCACCTGCACACACTCACCAGAGCACACGTAGCACAGTGCCTGGCTGGCCCAGGGCCTTGCAAAGCTCCTGTACACCTGAGTCACCCAGGGGGTTGTTGCTCATTTGCAGCTCCAACAGAGAACGATTTTGAGTCAACACTGAGCAGAAGTGGGAGCAGCAGGCAGCAGTGAGGCTACAGCTCTTCACCCTGTGGGGACAGGCAGGCTGGAGCCCACTTTCTGGAGCTGGTAGCTGCACACCCTCCCTCCCCTTGGAGGTCCATGAGGAACCTCCTTCCCTCCTCCCCAGACCCTGCCCTTTGTATACCTGCACCTCAGCCCAGCACTGTCCCTGTCCAGTCACACCATCTCTGCCAGCAATTTCCCACACCTTACTCTGCCCTGGGCCCATTCTGTCCAGGAAGTACCTCAACCCCCCGCCTTGGGCCCCTCACCACAGTGATTCCAGCTGGCAGCCAGGCTCCAGCAGACTATCACACAGCAGCCGGGCGCCCTCATCCCCCAGCTCATTGCTAGCCAGACTGAGTTCCTTCAGGCTCTGCTTGGTTCTGAGGACATGGCACAGGTCCTTGCAGCCCTCGGCTGTAATGTCGCACTCCCACAGCCTGTGGACATCAACATTTTCCAAGGATGTGGAACACTCACCACCATGCCCTCCATCCCTTTGAAAGAGGTTGGAAACAACAGACTCACCACAGGGTCCTGAGCCTACAGTTGGGGTGTAAGAGCCCTGGGCACAGTGTTGCAATGCCTGCATTGCCCAGCTTATTGCAACCCAGGCCCAGCTCCTGCAGTGAGGCTTTGGAGCCCACGACGTCACATAGATCCCTACAGTTGGCTGATGTGATACCACAGTTCTCCAGCCTGCAGACACAGGACATGATGAGGGAAGCCCTGGGGCGTGACCCCACCCCTCACCCCCTATGACCTACTATTTACTTGAGCAACTCCAGCTGGCAGGCAGAATCCTTCAGTCCCTGGCATAGTGTGTGGACACCGGCTTCATGGAGGTCGTTGTTGCTCAACACCAGTTCCTTAAAGTCAGGTTTGGCCCTGAGCACTGTGGCCAGGGGCTCACAGCTGGTAGCCGTAAGGTTACAGTATTCCAACCTGGGGCAGGCGACAGGCAGAAGGCTCAGTCATATCAAGAAGATGAAGATAGTGGACCAACCAGCAGGGGGCAAAAGTGTTAGGAAGGGGGTGCTAGTATCTCATTTCCTATTACCTCCTCATCCTTAAGGCCCCCACTCACAAGTGAATACCCAGAGTTTCCAGGCTTATGCATACATCAGCCTTGTGCCTAGGAAACCACTAAATAAGCACCCCACCTCAAATCTGGGGTGCTCCTAGACCCAGCAGAAAGAAGTCCCCAGTGGAGGGCCATCTTCAGCTCAGCTGGGGTTACTCTGCTAAATAAAGCCAGATTCCACCAGCATCAGTTCTCACTCTCAGGCCAAGTCAGCTGCCAGTTCCTGGAAAAGGGGAGACCCTAGAATCCTAGGAGTCCTCTCCAAAGCTCCCAGCCACTGCACTGTGCTAGTGTTGAGATTTACTGAGGATATGTACCTGGCTGGGCTCTGGGACAGGGGCAGCAGAGAGCTCAGAGGCCCCGAGCAGGGTATTCACTCACTGAAGCCTCTCAAGGTGGCACTGGGGGTCCAGAAATGCTTTACAAAGCAACTGCAGGCCTGCATCCCCCAGGGGATTGTCATTGAGGTGTAGCTCACGGAGGGTCGTCAAAGAGCGTAATGGGCCAGTCAGGACCCCACAGCCAGCTTCTGTCAGTCCACAGTTCTGGAGGCTGAAATATATGCTACCATCAACTCTCCAGAGGAGCACCCACATGTGCCAGAGCCCCAACCTCACCTTGCAGGGAACTGCTACTCTTCTGGATGGCTCCATGCCTCCAGGCTAAAGGAGGCTACTAATATGGCTCAGCCAGATTCTCATTTGGGCCTAGGGCCTGGGACAAAGTAAAAGGGTGGCTTGTCCCTGCATATCTCACCTATGAGCCTCTGGCTGGAGCTGGGAGTGCCTGCTACAACAACCTGCCCCTTCCAACCTCCCCACCCTTTAGTGGTTCGCCATCACTACTGCCCAGCTGCCCACAGCAGGTTCTACTCTGAGCAGGCTAGGCTGGGCCCCTGGGCTCACCTCAGCTTCTGGATCTTGCAGGTAGAATTCTGCAGGCCCTGGAGAACCAAGTGTACACCAGCATTGCCCAGCTCATTGGTACGCAGGCTGAGCTCTGTCAGGGTAGGGTTGGCCTGGAGCACTGAGCTGATATCTTTGCACCGCACCTCAGTGAGACCACAGTCTTCCAGCCTGCAGACAGGTCCCCTGGGTCATCATGGGGTGGCGCTGGCCTCAGACCCAACCACCATCTCACACAGCAGGTTATGACCCATCAAGGTGGGCTATGGATCATAACCAAGGCATTTAAATATGAAGCAGGCATACACAGTGTCAGGCAAACCAAGAAGCCCAAGTCAGCCTGGGCTATACAGTGGAAGAAACCCTGTCTCGAAAAACCAAGAGCTAGTGATGCTGGCTAGCGGTAAGGTGTTTGCCTAGCTTGTGCAGAGTCCCAGCATGGGAACTGGGGCTGGGGGTCGGGGGGGTGTCATCATAAATGGGCACTGACAGCAGACAGAGGAATCCAGACCTGGAATGGTTAGAGCTGCAGCAGCCTGAGTATATGATGAACCACAACAGGTTGTGACTCAACAACAGAGACACCTTCAAGTCATCTCCATTAAATAAACACATAGGGTTACTCTTGTCACAGAAGAGTAAGGGTTCTTCATAAGTTATGCAGGGAATGAAAAAATGACAAAATGTCCCCTGATAATGCCAGATATGAGCTGCAAACAGAAGCCAGGTGTGGTGGTGCTCATGCCTTTAATCCCAGCACTTGGGAGGCGGAGGCAGGCAGGTTTCTGTGAATTCAGGGCCAGCCTGCTCTAGAAAGTGAGTTCCAGGCCAGCTAGGGCTACAGGGAGACCCTGTCTCAAAAAAACCAAAAAAAAAAAAAAAAAAAAAGAAAAAGGAAGAAAGAAAAAGAAGGATCTGCAAACGGGCTGAACCAACAGCAAATGTCTACAGAACCAAAGGGGGAACACAGCAGATGTGGGGGCTGCATGTTCCCACTGTACACTCAAGACAGTGTGGCAGGCAAGACCCACAGGACCTCCATACTCTCCAAAAATCCATGACCACCATGAAAAGCCCTCAGACAAGCCCAGGGGGACGCATGCAGGGTGTCCAAACTCAGACACTAGGACACGGGAGAGACCCTGTAGAAGGGTCTAACAAGATGGTCAGTAAAACTCATGTGGGATCCTGGGTGACCAGATGGGAAATGGACACAGGGGCAAAGCTAGCAACCCAATGTCTGGCAGGAAGTGCTAGGCAGCATGAGCCTTCTCCCTGGGACATGGCCATGAGAAGCTGGTGCAAGGCTGGGGATCCCTGAATGACATGACTCTGCTACAAACTTAACACTATCTCAAATAAAAATAGTTAACAAGGGAAAAGGTGAGAACCAAGCAGGCCTTGTTTCTTGCCTATGAACCTGAGGCACCAAGGGTTGTGAAAGCCTAGTGAGGAAGGCTGGTCCCAACTCCCTTTCTCAGCCAAAGCTAAGCAGAGACACATATGGACAGGTACCACTACCACCACCCAGGAACCTGAAACTCCTGCTCTATCACTAGAGGAGGAAGAGAAGCTGAGTGACGAGGGTTCAGGATGCCTAGACACCAAGTATGAGGTGCCCACTGTGTCAGCCTCCATGCTAGGCCTGCCCATGCTACCTACGCCTGCAGAGGTTCATACACACTTGTCACACACAACACATGTAAGGCAAGTACTCTACCATTGAGCTACATGCCCAGCTGTCAGTTTTGGATTTTTGTTTCCCTCCTGTATCTCAGGATGGCCTTGAACTCATTATATAGCCAGGGATGACTTGGAGCTTCAGATCTTCCACTTACCCAAGTGTTGGGACTGTAGGCTTACACTACCTTGCTCAATGCATGTGGTGCTGGGAATTGAATCTAGGGTCTTGTGCATTCTAGACATACATTCTATGGCTGAGCTATGTCCCCCATAGCCCAATTCCAGGCCAGCCTGGATTAGAGTGGATACCCTGTCTCAAAACAAACATACAAAGCCGAACAATCCTACAAGAACAACATCTTGTGAAGATTACGTAAAGCATTGAGTAGCACACTTTGTGAACACAGCAAGCCCCTGTGAGGTGGCCGCCAAGCTACAGGAACCATTCACCTCCACAGCAGAGCACCAGCCTTTCAGCTTGTCCCAAAAGCACCCATGAGGTCCCCAAGGGCATTCTTACCTGACCACTTGGTATTGCTGGATCAGGGGGAGGAGCTCTGCCCATCTGGCATCACTTAGCTGCTCACATTGGATGTCAAGACTCATGGTGGGTATACAGTGTCGTCTGGGCAGAAGTAAAAAGAAAGAGAACTCAGCAAATTGTTGGACCCTGTCAAGCTAGACCTTATAACAGGAAGAGTCCAAAATCCAAGAGGGCAGATTTTTTTTTTTTCAGAAAGGACCCAGCCTCTCCTGGTATGTCCATACACTGAGCCTCCAGAAGCAGACAAGGTGGCAGACGGGCTGCCTACCTGGTATCCCTAGCAAAGAAGAGCACAGGCAGCAGAACCTGCACAAGGCCAGAACTGTAGGACACAGATGCTAGCCTTGCCTCCCAGATATCCAGCTACAAAGGCACCTCTTGTTAAAGACAGCATGGGGACACCAAGTCTGGCATGGGAATCACCTGTCTCCTATCTGTTTGAGCAGGGTTATTGGTATAGAGAACCCAACAGGAAAGCTTCCTGCTCACTCAGCCTATGGCCTGCTGCGAGAATAGGCTGAGCTAGCAGGCAGCACCACACCCTGTGCTGCCAAGCCATCCACAAAGCCAGAGACCTAGGAAGCCAGGATTCTGGGCACAAGCAGCCCTTGAGAGGGCACAGGACTCTGGGGATAAGAGGAGTATACAAGGGCAGCCACTAAGGCACCAGCTTCCATGACTTCCTTCTGCGGCTGAGAACTCAGACCAGTCCAGTCCACTCCACATATTCTGTCCAACACCTAGGTCAGGCTCAGCCCACAGAGGGTCTAGGCTATCCACTGGGCTAAGAAAAACAAGAGCTGTACCTAGGCGAGTTGGAATAGGAACAGGTCACAGGCTCTGACTCCTGCCAGGGATGGAACAGAGCCTGAATAAACAATGCAGATACCGATTGTGGGCGTTTCTGAGGTCCTGAGGCCCTGGGTAGATACCCATGTCCCTACATTTCCCAAGCATCTGCCAAGCAGGCCAGCCGAGATCCCTGGAAGAAGTGATCCACGCTATGCTGCTGGGTTCTGTTCAAGAGCAACAGAAGGCAAGTGGAGAGACTGCTCAGAGTTCAGAGCATTGGCTGCTCTTGCAGAGGATACATTTTGGCACAAGGGTTAGTAACAGGGGAAACTGAGGCAAGGGTGTAACTCACTGTGGTCATACTGGGATCATGTTAAGGAACCAGAGTCACCAGTGCCCAGAGTGGATGAGCAAAACCAGCACTGCCTGGATCCCAGCGCGTGTCACCCTAACCCAGTCATCACTGAAGCACTCGGGGTTGGGCGGGGCAGCTTGAAGACCTCTAGGCACTGTAGCATCCAGACCAAAGTCCACAGTCCTGCCTGCTCTCTTCAGAAACTCCAGACTAGGGCAACCTGAAGCCCCTTCCTCCTGGGAAAGCACGGGGCTTGGGGTGGGGGTGCTGTCAGCCAGTTCGGACTGTGACCTTTTGAGGTCAGGGGTAAAATGGGGAAGTAACAACTTAGCTGAGCTCTCTCTCTCTCACACACACCCTCTCCCTTTGCCTGGGCCTTGGGACCAGCTCCTTTGGCCTCTCAGGGTTGCTGATCTGTGAAGCCCTGAGGATGTGCAAATGTAACCAAGCAGGAAACCCCCACGCCGGGTTTAGAGGCAAGTTCCAGACCCCAGCTTAGCACCAATTGGGCATTACTATCCAGCTGCTCCCCGATGCAACACAGTTGGGTCACACCAGCGATCTGAACAGAACCCCAGTTGGGCCTTTTCAGGGTACGACTAGGCCGCTGGCGACGGAAACCTGAGCTTAGTCCTCAAGCATCCAAGCATCGAGAAAGGATCCCTCGAGGGCACAGACGTGCCTCAAAACAGGGATCGGGAGGCTTCAGAGGCGGCGATCCCGCCCACGCCCCTCTCTTGATCCCTCAAACCTTCTGGTCCGGAAGCTCTGCCACTTATTAAGAGGGCCGGGAGGGGGCGAGAGAAAAACACGCGGGACCAGTCGCGCGCCCCGAAGCATGGCCCTGGGCTCACCTGACGCTGCCGCCTGAGGTTCCAGCTGCACCAGTTCCTTCCGCCCAGGGCGGGACTTGGAGACTCTGGTCCTCACTCTCTAGCCCCACCTAGCCTCACTTGGCCCTCTGGAGGCCACCCGCCAGGTCTGCCCCTCCCACATGCTGGCTGCACTTTGGGAACTGAACAAACCTGAGTCACATCTTTCCTGCCAGACCAAACGATCCACAGCTGCGCGGAATCGGTGCGACTCAGCAGTTTTTGAGAGCAAGATGGCAGTATGTGTGGAGTGGCATACACCCGCTGCTACGGGCCAACCAGACTTTCATGCCTGGACTTGGCACAATGTTCAAAACGTTCTTGTCCTTTCTGGCCCTGGGACTGCAGCTCGATGTAAACAGCTTTTGTCTCCTGTGCATGAAATCCTCCACACTCAAAAAGGGCAAGCATTTTATCGCTGTTAAGGACTTTGTAACATACTCCCAAGCTAACTTACTGCAGTTTGTCTGTTTTGTATTTTGAGACAAGGTCTTGATATGTAGCCCAGGCTGGCCTGGTACTTGCAGATTTGCCTCCTCCTAAGTGCTGAGATCACAAGCTTGTACCACACGCCCCACCAGTTATTTTAAAGGTGAAGAACAAACACGATCTTCGGAAAAGGTCAGCATAGAGCACTTTAGGGGAGCCCTGCTCTCCTGCACAGATGGCCACAAGCTTGTCAATGTACAGGCATTCATCTTCAACTTATCGAACACTTACTGTGTGCAAGGCACTGTTCAAAATCCCAGCTCTTCTGGGGTTTAAATAACACAGGTAAAGGAGACTCCTGCATGCCAGCATGGCAGGGAGGAGGTCGGGGATGTCTTCCCAGAAAGACATGGGACACTGGGCTCTGAGGGGACAAAGGGAGAGGAAGAGGGGTAGGTAAAAAGGAAGATTCAGATTCAGCATCACGAACTGCAGTGGTCACTGCAGACCTGGTTTAATCTTCACAAAGACTCAGACACTGGGCCTGACCAGCGGACTAGGACCTCAGTTCTTCTGAGAAGGTAAAAGGCTGCTTCGTGAGAGGGACAACTTTGGCCAGGCCAGCCCTTACTTTTTGCCTGAGTCTGTTGGTTGACCAAAGACAAAAAGTAGGAGCTGCCAACTTGGGGTTCTAGGTTTCAAGCAGGTCAGGTAGATGGCAGATACAAGGTGGGTCTAGCACCTCACCAGAAGCTCAGGAGAGACTGAATAGTGAATACCTCTTCCTGCTGTATGCAAGAAAATGAGGGCTTCTGTAGAGACCACAACAGCCTGAGGGTGAGGATGGAGAGAAAGGTAGGGAGGTCCCTTATGTATTCTGAGTTCCAACCAACTTTACTGTGGGTGTTTCTATGGGAAAATTACCCTGGGTGGGTCCCACATAATCACGAAGATCCTTGTAAGGAAGTGGCAGAGATAAGGGTTTTTGATGGATGGAAAAGGCAAAGAAACCCATTCTCTTTGAAGCCTCTAGGAGCCACCCCACAGACACCTTAACTTTTAACTCATTTTGGACTCCTGATCTCCAGAATTTGTAAAGTAACAAATAGGTGTGCGGTTCTGTTACAACAGATAGGAAACATACTTTTGCAACTTAATAATTTTTTGTTATTTGGTCTCTCTCTCTCTCTCTCTAGCCCTGGCCTGGAACTCCCTATGTAGACCAGGCTGGCCTCGATCTCACAGAGATCTGCCTGCCTCTGCCTCCCAAGTGCTGGAATTAAAGGCCCATGCCACCATGCCTGGCAACAATTTTTTTCTTTTTATGTGTATGTGTGCATTGCTTGCATGTAAGTAAGTGCACCCATGTCGTACAATGCACGAGGAGGGCAGAAGAGGTTGTCACATCTCCTGGAACTGGAGTTACAGACAGTTGTTAGCTGCCATGTGGGTACTGGGATTTGAACTCAGTCAGGTCTTCTGTAAAAACAACCAGTGTTCTTAACCACTGAGCCATCTCTCCAGCCCCAACAATTTTTTTTTTTAAATCTGTGGTCTTGCCGGCTAGAGAGCTCAGTGGTTAAGAGCACTGGAAGCTCTTACAGAGGATCCAGAGTCATTCCCAGTACCCACATGGCAGCTAACAACTGTTCATAACTCCAGTTCCAGGGGATCCAACACCCTCTTCTGACTCCTTTGGGCACTGCACAACTAGGGTATAATTACACACAGGCAGACAATACACTCATACACATAAAACAATAAAATAAGAATAAAAGCCTATGGTTTGGGGCTGGAGAGATGGCTCAGCGGTTAGCAACACTGACCTGGGGTTCAAATCCCAGCACCCACATGGCAGCTAACAACTGTCCGAAACTCCAGTTCAAGGGGATCCAACAGCCTCTTCTGTCCTCGGGCATTGCATGACACAGGTGCACTTATCTATACGCAGGCAATAGACACATACACATAAAATGAAAATAATAAAATGTTTTTTAAAAAACACTATGGTTTTGCTCTGTAGCCCCTGGCTATAACCAAGGCTGGCTTCCTTCTCCACGCTGGGATTGGAAGCCTTGGCCACAACACACCCAGCATACATAATCTGTTAATAAACAGTGAGGTGGCCCACGCCTGTAATCCCAGCAGTCCATTCAGAAAGCTGGGCCAAGATCACCATAAGCTCCAGGTTAGGCTAGGTTAAAGTATTTGACTATGTCTTCAAAATACTCCCCCCAAAAGGCCAGGTGGTGGTGCCTTTAATCCCAACACTCTGGAGTTGGCAGGTGGATCTGAGTTCGAAGTCAGCCTGGTCTACATATCGAGTTCAGGCCAGCCAGGGTTTGTGCAATCTAATTTTCCTTTGTGTGCAATCATGCTTATGCGACTGAGTCAACTCTCTTTTGACAAATTTACTACCCTACAAAGAGGACCCGGCTGGTTCTGAGGCCCTCCCTAAACAGTGCCATAAAGAGCTCTTGAATTTCTGCAGAAACCTTATAGCCGCCCCTCCATACCCAACAACGCAAAGCCACGGAAAACCCCACTTCGCTTCCGCCAACTCTCGCGAGGTGCAGTACCAACCCCAGAGCCCACAGTTCTGAGGTCCCGGATATCTCCACGAAGTTACTACCCACGTCCCCACGTGCACCCAAGGGCGGCGCAGGACAAACGAGAGATCCTCCACCTCAGCTCTCGTCCCACCGAGGCCCTCCACCTACTCCCGGAATCCCGAGGCAAGTCCTCTACCTTCCTGAGGAGGGTTTTTCGGTGGACGAGAACCGAGACCCCTGAGTAGGGGAAAGTAGTGCTGGCTGGGGCAGCCCTGGCGTGGGCTGCATCACCACACCACGCATGCGTAGGGGCCGCGCCAGAGGCCCTAGCGGACCACGAGAGACGCGCACGCGGCGCGATGATGTCATCCAAGTACGCCGGCTCCGAACGTCCTGCCCTTCCCCCCGGCCCCGCCCGGCCCGGGAGCGCGCGGCAGGCCTCCAGCTCATCCACGGGCAGATCCCGACATGGACGTCTGACCGGATAAGACAGCGCGTGAGACTGACCTTGCGCCGACAGAAGCCTGGAGACCCGGAGCGTGATGGCCGGCTTCTGACTGGAGGGCCGGGCAGGCGGGCGGGGCGGGGTCACGCCAAGGGAGGGGCGGGCCTGGTCGGGGGCGTGCCCTGTGGGGCGGGGGCTGCGGTGGTGAACCTACCCTGGCAGAGGGAAGCTGGGGAAGCTGGACCCACAATGGGCTCCGAGCCTGTAGGCCCAGCTGGGCGGAGGGCGACAGGCTCGTGGTGGTCCGAGGGTGGCTGGTGCGACTGCAGCTTGTGCCTTCACGGCTGGACACTTGACGGGTGGTGCCGGCCAATTCCTGGACTCACGCTTAACCTACGCGAGAAATATGTTTCTGGAACGCTACTACATTTTTTTTGTTTTTTTTTTGAGAACGGGTCTCCCTGTAACCCCAGCTGGCCTGGAACTCGCTACGAAGAGCAGGCTGCCCTTGAACTGACGGAGATCCGCCAGCCTCTGTCTGTGCTGGGATTAAAGGCTTCTTGCACCACCACGCCCCACTGCTAAAATATTTTTAAGGTTTTTGGTTTTGATTTGGGTCTCTTTGTAGCTCTTGCTGACTTGAAACTAACTATACAGCTCAAACAGTCCTCAAAGTGTAGACAGTACTGCCTCAGCCTTTCTGAGCCCTGGGATTACAAGTTTGAGCCACTATGCCTAGCTTTAAAAAAAAAAAATTTTTTTTAATTTACTGGCAACTGAAGATGCAAAGTATTTTTAAACTTCTAAAAAAAAATTTTTTTTTTTAGAACAAGGTAACCTAGGTTAAATGATAGTGTTCTAAAGGTTAAGGCACTCATGTGGAGCTCAGTTTTTCTGGCTGACATACAAACAATTCCTGACACCCTAGGTGGGCGCCTACCTTCTGATCTGAGCCAAGCTGACGGACCTCAGCTGGTGATGTCCCTTTTGACTCCTTGGTAAGGGTTCAAAAACTTGAGATACTGCCCAGACTTACACAGCCCAGATCTCTCTGAAAGTCTCCTGGGAAGTGTATACCATGTACAGGAAGCCATCTTCATCCTTCTCGCTCTCCTACACCTCAGAGTTGGGCGTGGACACGCTCACCATGCTGTGTCCATTCACCAGGAGAAAGAAGGCCTGGTTAGCATTGAGCTGTAAGCGCCTTCTGATTATCTTGATGAGCTCACTCATGTTGACATGGTCAGGCACCAGGAACTTGGTTTTATCCAGGACAGGCAGCTGCTTCTCGCCCTTGTATCGTTCTATGATCACCCAGATCTTGGTGGGGTGCTGTTCTTGGATGAGCCAGACGTCTTCCACCCTTTGTTCCAAGCTGCAGCTCTGCTTGAAGGTCAAAACACTTTTTTAGTCACCACACCCAGCCTCTTGATTATTTTTTTTTAAGATTTGTTTTATACCGGGCGTGGTGGCGCACACCTTTAGTCCCAGCACAGGCAGAGGCAGGCTGATCTCTGTGAGTTCCAGGCCAGCTGTGGCTACAGGGAGACCCTGTCTGAAAAAGATCAAAGGAAAAAAAAAACAACAAAATGAGCAGCAAGTGTTCTTAACCACGGAGCCATCTCTCCAGCACCCTATTTTACGTGTGTGTGTGTGTGTGTGTGTGTGTATACACACGCACCATGGCATTCAAGGAGGATGTCAGGTGTCCTATCTCTTTCAACCCTATTCCCTAGAGATGGGGTCTCTCACTAAACCTGGAGCTAGGTTGGAAACCAACAAGCCCAGTGATCTTCCTATCTCTGCTGGCTCACAAGAATAAAGAGTACTTGGCTTTTTAAGTGGGTACTGGGGATTCTACCTTACTGAGTCGTCTTCCCAGCCCCCAGCAATTTTATTTTTAAATGTAGCTCAACCAAGGTCGCATGGTAGCAGGAGCCAGAGGTCCCAGCTACCAGAGGCTAGAGCAGAAAGCTGGCTTGAGTCTAGGAGTTTGAGACCAACCAAAGTAACACAGTGAGACCCTGTGTCAAAAAAAGAACAATAAGATGTGATGGCTCAAGTTCTGGCCTCTTACTGACAGAGGGGCTAAGAAGGGGGACTGCCTGAGAGCCCTGGTTCCTGCCCCCACCTAGTGATGAGGTTCCCTTAATTGTGCCATACCCATCCCCCTACCATGGAGTTTGTGACACCCCCCCCCCAAGGCCCCAGGGCAGATCTGACTTTGGTAGGCTAAGGCTGAGATCCTAGTGACAGCCTGAGAGGGTGGACATCCTGAGAGCACCCAGATCCTGCCTCCGTGTGGTGAAGGAAATCTGAGTGTACCTGACTGGAACCTAAATTGGGCTTCTGTGGGTACTCCTGAATAGATGATCTGAAGCCATCAGTTCCCTCCAAATGAAACCTGAGAGAACCTGAACCCTGTACTATGGGCGTGCGGGGATCTCGGGGCTCCAGCTGCTGGGCGTGGCGCGGGTCTCCTACCCGTCGCTGGAGTGCGGCGGGTCCCGCGGGCCGCATCTTTGAGTCCCTGGCTCCCCGCCACTGGGGTGGACGTGGCGCAGGTCGCGCACCACGTTGTTGTGGGTCTGTGCTGGGGGGGGGGGCTGGCCCGGTAGGGTTCCATCCGAATCCACCGTGCACTCTCTCTCTAAGTTCGGACCTGTCAGCTGCCGGTCACGAGGGGAGATGCAGGCCAGCGAAAGCTGGATTTCCGTGAGTAGGTTTACAAAGAGACAGCTCTCTCCGGAAGAGGCAGAATCACACACAGAACTCAGCTCAGTCAGTGGTACAGCCCCTTTATTCAGTGACTTAGCTCGGCTCCAAGTCTTAGTGATCCAGCTCCAATTAATTAGGGGAAACCAGGATATTTTATACTGTGGGGGTAGTGGTGAAAGCCTTAGCTGATAGGTACTTTGTGGGATGCCCTATTTACATATGGGAGTGGGCTCTTGTCAGGCTGTCAGACTGCCTGAAAATCACACAGGAAAAGCTGGCAGTTCCAGAGCCAGAGCCCATGGCTACTTCAAAAGATGAGTCAGGAAGATGCCGGGAAGGCACCCTGCTGATAAAAGGAGTCTCTGCATATGAAGCCGAGCCCATAGGCTATCCGGACATGGAGAGACTGCTACTTTACACAACAGGGGTCCCCAACACTGTACCAACCAGCTTTACATAACCAATAAAGAAAGGATCTAGGCTGGGGCTGGAGAGATGGCTCAGCAGTTAAGAACAGTGACTATTCTTGCAGAAGACCTGGGTCCGAATCCCAGCACCCACATGGCAGCTAACAACTGTCTGTAACCCCAGTTCCAGGGGATCTGACAGCCTCTTCCTGTCCTCTCAGGCATTGCACCTACATGCAGGCATAACACTCATAAACTAAAAATAATAAAAATATTTTTTAAAAAAGAAAGGATCTAGGAACCCAGATAATACAAACAGAAGCATACTTCAACTTGATTCTCATCTCAGAATCATAACAAAAGAAATTCACATGCCAAGATCACAATGAAAGAATAATAAAATGGAAAGCCAAAACACTATATCCCCAGCAAAGCCCACCAATCCTATAGAAGAGTTCTATAAGGAGAACCCCCTAGAGTAACCCAGGACATTGGACATGATCAAGGAATTCAAGGAATTTTAAAAACACATGAACAAACAAATCAAAGAGCTAAAAGAAGATAGGGATAAACTTCTGAATGAATTCACAAAAGAGATAGAAACATTGAGGAAAACTCAGGCAGAAATAAAGAAGGAAGTGCAAAACTCAATAAGCCAACTTGAAACAACAGGGGAAAGCCTCACCGCTAGAATGAATGAAATGAAAAACAGAATATCAACACTGGAGGATAAAGTTGAAGAACTGAACGACTCAAGCAAAGATTATGGAAAATTTTTAAAAACATAGGAATGGAATATGCAAGGGATGTGGGACACCATGAAATAACCACATCTATGGATCATAGAAATAGAGGAAGGAGAAGAATTTAAGGTTAATGGTATTGACCAGATCTTAAACAGGATTGTAGAAGAGAATTTCCAAAAATTAAGGAAAGACATCCCCACACAAATACAGGAAGCACATAGAACACCAAATAGACAGGATCAGTAAAGAAACTCCCCACCACGTATCATAGTAAAAACACTAAATGTACAGAACAAAGACGAAAGAAAGCAGCAAAAGAAAAGTCACATACAAAGGAAAGCCCATCTGAATTACAGCTGACTTATCAATACAAACTATAAAAACCAGAAGAGCCTGGATCAAGGTATTTCAAGTTCTACATGACAATAGATGCCAGCCCAGAATACTATACCCAGCAAAAATGTCTATTATAGTTGAGGGGGAAAGAAAAATCTTCCATGACACAAACAGCCTGAAAGAATACATGTCCACAAAACCAGCCCTTCAAAGAATACTTGAAGCAATACAGAGAGTGGAGAGAGAAACCACTATACCCCAGGGGCAATGAAAGAAAATAAGTAAAGGTATTATCTAGGAAACACAAAATTACACAGAGAACACAAACAGCAATCAAAATGACAGCAACCAATACACATCTTTCAATAATAATCTTAAATATCAATGGACTGATCTCCCCAGTCAAAAGACACAGGCTAAGTGGATTAAGAAACAAAATCCACCTCTTTGCTGTCTGCAAGAAACCCATCTCACCTTCAAGGAGAGGCACTACTTTAAGGTAAAAGGATGGAAAAGAATATTGCAAGCAAATGGCACTTATGACACAAGCAAGGGTTGCAATTCTAGTACCTGACAAAATAGACTTCAAAGTAAAACTAATCAGAAGCGATAAGGAGGGTCACTTCATTCTGATCAAAGGAACAGTTAGCCAAGAAGGTATCACACTCCTTAACATATATGCACCAAACTCTTGCA